GCTCATAATTTTAATTCTCATTCACTTTGGAGAGATTTTAATCATAATAAGTTACAAAGGCCTCTATGGCTATGAATGATATGATGGGCAAGTATACTTTCCTTTCTTTTTATTTATTTATTTATTTATTTATTTATTTCTTTTTTACCCCTAAATCTTCTTCTTTTTCTTTATTAAAAAAAAAGGTTCTTATATTTGTTATATACTAGTACAACACCCGTGTATTACACGGGTGTTTGCTAATTTTCTTCTTAAAATTTAAAATTAATGAGAAAAAGTAGTTTGAAAATTTAAATACATTTTATAAGAATATATATATTATTATATATTTATTATGATACTTTTTATTTGTGCGACTTACTTGTGTTATATTATACTAATTTTTTAACTTACAATATATAACTACATTAAATATAAATATAGCAATTGAGAAATAATTTTATTTTTCTAATAAATTTTAATAAATATTATTATTTTTTATTATTATAAAGATAAATATAATTTATTTATTTTATATATACAATATGGATGTCAAATTGAAGATCATCAAAAGATGATTAATTAGATGTATTATATATGTAAAACCGATAGGAAATACAAAAATTATCTACTTTTAAAATACATTTATATTTCAATAGCTTATTGAAGAAAGCAAATCAAAATTTAGGGATATATTAGTCACTTAGTACCTCACTATGTAAAATTACAAAAAATTAAAGGGTTATATTGGTAAAAGTGATATTAAAATACCTAAGTTAGCTAAATAATATTTATGGAATACCCGAACCTAGATTATTAATTATTAATAATTAATATTATTTGTCCAAACCTAATTACTAAGCATGATTCTTCGTCAAATAGGATTTCGAAGCACCAGAAGCAGCCACGTAGGCTCAGCACATTCGGGAATTATATATAGAGAGAATATATATATAATTATATATATATACACATATAATTAGGGGTTATCACATTAATGCTAATTTTTTTTCGTTTTCCGCTCTTTTTTGGAGGGGTTAATTATGACAAAATTTATATTGTTTTTTTTTCATTGAAGTATAAAAACCCAACTGAAAGTCATTAATATAACGATTTAATTATAAATGTGATATATATTATTATATAAATTATTATTTTGATTAAAGTATTTATATATAATATTATATATAAATTATTATTTTAATTTAAGTATTTATATATAATATTTATTTATTTTTTGTAATCTGGGCATGTGCACAGAATTAATACTAGTTTACACTAACTTATTGCTGTACTTTTTTTCCAAATTCTTCTTGGAATCACTTAACAGAACTTTTAATCAATTTAGAGATGTTCAATCATTTTCAAAGCTATTATGCTTTATGCATTCATATATTAATTTTAAAATTAATTATCCGTGAGTCAAAAAGATTAAAGATGTGTTGTTTTCTTCATTCCTTCATGCCTTTATTTATTTTTTTTCTTTTTTTTTTTGTTATAGTAATAATGCTAAGCATATTATTTTTCCTTTCTTTTTAAATTTGATTTATCATCTTTGTTCTCATTTTCATTTTGTTGTTTTCTGAACTGTCTATTTTTTATGCATTAAATCTGTACAAAAAATAATGAGAAAAATCAAAGTATACTATAATTCCAATTTAATTATTTTGCACAATATATTGCCGATAAGGGAACAACACATGCAGATAATCCTTCATGTATATTCAAGGTTCCAACAGTCTTGGGAGCAGAAATTCTACGAAGTCATCGGATGATTTTTTTTATGAAGTCATTCATCACTTAATGTATTGACACGTGTCTAAATTGTATTTGTTATGGGACACGTGTCAATACACTATTTATGAATAAGTGTGAATGTATGACTCAATAAATCGAGTTATCCGATGGTTCAATGGCAAAATCGTATTGTTAATTAGTTAGTGTTTGCTCTGTTTTGTTTGACTCTTACCACTACACAAATTCTTAAATGAAGTTGTCTAATTGTTAGTCAAGATGACACGTTATAATTTTTTTAGCAAAAATTTATATTTATTTCTATTAAAATGTATTTTTTTATTTATTTTCTAAATATGTTTGTTCGAGAAATTTAGTTGTTTACATGGTTAGATCTATCTAATATTAGTGTTATGTTACCGCTACTTGTGAGGAGGTTTTTGGACTTGTTGGTCTGTAAATTGTAATTGTACTATTTATTGAATTTTTATATAATAATAATTACAAATCTCGACAGAATAGTTCCATAACCGAACACTAAAAAAGAAAATACATGCATTCAATTTTAGTTAAATAATACACGAATACATGTATGTACCAAAATTACGCAAGCCTATTAGCGGCTATCTACTTAAAAAAAAAAACACACACACACACGTGTGCGATTAGGATTTGAAGTTAATTATTTGGTAAAATCTCGACCAACCAAAATTTGATCTTCAAGAAATTCATTGACATCCCACGTCAGCGACCCGAATTCGTGACCCAACTCGAAATCCAGACCGTCCAAAATAACATCCTCCAACACCGTCTCCGGCACCCTCACCTCGTCGTCGTAGATCAACGGCGACGGCGACCGAAAATCAAAGTAGTTCTTTAGGAAGCACTGATCCAACGGCAGACAGTCGTCCATCACAAGCTCCGGTGGCGGCGGATCTTCAACCACCCCGCCCTTCTGATCCTCCTCCTCCTCCCCGGATTTGGCTGTTTTCAGGTACCGCGATTTAAGGACGGAGGTCGGGGATGACAGATTCTCCAACGATTCCTCCTCGCCGGAGTTGGCCGCCGCCCTGGGCGGCGGCCGGATGATGTTGGTGGTGGCGTCCGGCCCTCGTATCCGGATCGCCTCCCTGTCGTAGACGACGGCGGCCTCCTCCGCAGTCGCGAAGGTCCCCAGCCAGACCCTCGCCCGGAGCGCCGGGTCTCGTATCTCCGCCGAGTACCGCCCCCACGGCCGCCGACGCACGCCGCGGTACTTTTTCTCTCCACCCTCGGCCACCGCCGCCGGAGGAGACGGCTTCTTCTTCGCGGCGGCGGCGGCGCTCTTCTCCTGGCCGCCTCTCCTGGTGGCGGGAGATGCCGCCGCCGTAGGCGGCGGCCTCTCGGCCTCCACCCTGATCTCGTTCACGTGCTTCCGCACGCGGCGGCAGTTGGCGTAGCCGCATTCGTCGCCGGAGGACTCCGTGGCGTCGCCGTCGGTGATGGATATCCTGACGATCTTGCCGGCGCACAGGCCGGTATTCTGCGGCGGCGGGAAGATGTGCTTGGTGGTGACGGTTTTGTGGACGGAGTATTTGATCGGTTGTGAATTCGATTCGCTCATTTTAACGGCCAAATGATATAAAACATCACATCAAGAAGACGAGGAATGATCAGCTGAGTAAAGAAATTCTGGAAAAAAAATAATAATACTAACAGTAGTAGTAAAAATGAGTACTGTGAGTAAAAACGGGTTGACGAAGAGAAAAAGTCGTGCTTCCAAGTAACTGAAACAACAATTAAATCCGATATTAATAATTAAGAGAATGATTTATTTCTCTGTGAAATTTATTTATTTTTAATCTGCGATTAGTGTCCTTATATATAATATAAGAAAGTGCGGGAGATAGTCATATATATATATATATCCTACTTCTTTGGAGTCAATATGGTTAAGTTTTGACCTCGTTTTGTGGGAGCAAAAAACATACTATAAGACTTGAATTATTCAAAAAAATAAAGAACAAAAAATTCATAAAAAAACCTAGCACAATATTGAGTAATTAAATGTGACTCGTATAATATAAAATAGGAATTGAATGAGTAAAAAATTAGATGGTTTAAAAAATGAATGAACAATTTATTTTATTTTATGTGCTTAATATGCTAAATGAATGGAACTTGAATATTATTATATTATCATCCATATTATTACTATATTATCATAAAAATAAATTTGAAATTATATTAATGTTATTGTTTATTTATGTCAATATTAATGTTATTGTTATAACATTATAAAGTTATTATATTTACGATAAATATGTTTATATTGTTACTGACGTATTATATAATATATATATATATATATATATATATATATATATATATATACGGTTTTGCTATGAAGCCAACAATTGGCTTTATACTGGAGCCAACCTTTTATATACAACAAGTAAACCTATCATATTCTCTTATTACTTAAACTAGTACGTACCCCGTGCGATGCACGAGACAGAAATATTAAATGAGTTATTTTACATGCTTTGTCCGTTTAAGTATATAAAGCAATAGGATTATCATCTATTTTTCATCTCTTTTAATCAGCTTTAAGTATAATAAACAACAAGGTTATAATATATTTTACACTTCTTTTAATCAACGTTCATTCCCTCACGCTTGGCGCCAATGAGATTTTTATAGCTCGTTCTGCAACGCATTTTGAACTATTTCAAATTTAAACAAATTTGAATGTTCAAATATTCGAAAAATGGAAACCGTGGTTCGTAGCCACGTGCTCTAATCCTCTGAGCTTAGCCCCGTTCATCTTCGGCGCAAGGGCGCTTGGTATTGTCATTACAAAATTATCACTACAAAACAAATAAATAAAGTCTTTTGATTTTTAGTCAAAATATTAAAATAATTAATATTTTTACTAACACATTTATCCTAATTTAAATTTGATTTTAATATATATATTTATTCCTTAATTATTATTTTATTATACACTTTATGTCATATAATGTCATTATTATTTATAAAGTTATAGAAGTTGTACGTCTTCTTTTTATTTTTATTTTATGTAATGAAAAATATTTAATGCACGTTGGTATTATTTATGTTTTTTTAGAATTTAATTTTCTATACTAATTAAACAACTTTGATTTAGAAAATGCCAAAACCTCGATCCCCTCTATGATCAAGATTTTTCTAATTCGCATTATAAGGATTTATGGTTTATTTAGCATACTCAACAATGAAAATATATTTTATAATAATTTAATTATACAAATAAATCAAAATTAAAAAATATAATCATGGGTGCCAATAATATACAAATAAATTACAATAGTTAATATGTTTCAATTTTAATTTTTATAATTAGTAAAACTATTTATTGTATCTGGTCATTATCTCTTAAATGGTAAATTATATTAATTTAACGAACGATTTATTTTTTATATTTAACAAAATAAAGCTTAAGAAACAAATATATTGGCAAAAATTAATTCACCAACTTGATTTTGTTTGATTACTTGGAAAAAAATTCTACCTAACCTGTAAGATTTTCCATAAATATTTTTGGATAAAAAGTGAATATTTGTGAAAAAAAAACACTATATTATGGTTAGAACTTAAAATATGGTGTAATTATCTTGACCAAAATATTATCAACATGGATCACATAAATCAATCAGGTAATTTATTATAATGAATATCAATGAAAATATCACAAATATTAATAAAATAATATTTATTTTGACCAAAATATAATCAACATAAATCACGAAAATCAATCTTTTAATTTATTATAATAAATATCAATGAAAATACTGAATATATTAATAAATTTATTTAAGTAATTATTTTATCATATGTTATTTGATCTTATTTAAAAATGTGTAAATAGAAACAATTAATGCATATATTTAAAAAATTTCCAAAAATAGTATGCATTAAATGTTTCCTAAATTTTTGCTACTATTTTTAGTAAATGGTAATTCTTTTTATATAGATATAGATATAGATATAGATATAGATATAGATAACACTAATATAATTTTATTAATATTTATATTATTTACTTATTGTATACAGTGTGTATAGACTTTGTTTAGATTGAATGTTCATTACTTCTTTAAGTTTTTTTTATAACATGTTACTAGTTGAATTCCACCCGGTGAAAAGAGTAAAGTTTTTGGTTCTCATTCTTTTCCTAAATCTCTTATAAGTTTTTGTCATACTTTTATCTCTTTAGGATTAAGGTGCAAATACATAAAAGCTGCACCCTAATTGGCACAACAGACTCTTTAAACACTTGAGACCCTTTTGAACACAAATAGTGCTGTAAACAAACCGAGTCGAGCCGAGTTTGGGTTGTTCGAGCTTGTGTTCGTTTACGTTCGAACAGTGTTCGTGTTCGTTCGTTTATTTTTCGAGCAAAAAATCGTGTTCGAGTTCGTTCGTTTAATTGTTCGTCAAAGTTCGAGTTCGTTCGTGTTCGAATAATTTAATACATAAACTTTTAAATATGTTCGATTAACTCGAAATTTGTTCGTTCGAGCTCGTTCGAACTCGAAAATAAAGAATAAAATAAAAATAATTTTATATATTATATTTTTATTAAAAATATTATGTAAATATATAGAATATAAATAAAATTGTATTAAATTTTAGATTTTTAATAAAAATATTATGTAAATATATAAAAAATAAAATAAAATTATATTAAATTAATATTCGCGAACATAATCGAACGTTCACGAACGAGCTCATGTTCGTTCGATTACTAAACAGGCGTAATTTTTTGTTCGAACTCGGCTCGATTAACAAAGGAACGAGTTTTTGTCGAATACGAACGAGCTCGAACGAGCTTTTGTTCGCGAACGTTCGATTCGTTTACAGCTCTAAACACAAATACTAAGGATATGGCAAATGCATAGATATGTAACAAATAAAAGGTTAACACCACAAAGAGGACGACAAAGATGTATAAGTTTATACCAATAAGCAGCATTAAAACTAGCATTACAAAAAAAAAAAAAAAAAAATAATAATAATAATCAATTTCGTAATATAAGCGACATTAAATGAAGTATAAGCAATTAAATACTTTTGTAAAAGATAACTAACATCTAACACAATGACAAGTACTTTTCATATAAATAGTCTTACAAATGGTCGGACCAAATATCGCAATAAATAGAATCTCTTTGTACTAAATTTTTTAAATGTTTGTACAAGAAAATATTCTTCACCCACTGAGTTTTGAATATTACAAGTGAAAGTAGTACGTGGAAGATGAAGGAAGACATTAAGTAGAAACAAATTCAACTAAATGATTTGCATTAGAGTAATTAAAATAAAGAAGAAGAACATGTATCAGCAATTACAATTGTAGTTTCAGTTCTAGATCCATATCCAATTGGGAGTTGTATTTGGCTCAACTCAATGTCCATTGTTGTCAGATGGTTAGACCATATGTATCAAGTCAAGGTTCTGCAACCAGTTTTAAAGTAGTACATTGCTGAAAAGATAAAAGAGGACATGGAGAAAGAGAGATTTTGTTTTCTGTTCTTTTTCCTTGATCGTAAAACTGACTCTTGAGGGTACATATAGAGATTACAAGAGATAAGGAAAATATCAAATCAAATATTTAGTTACTAAAGATAACTACAGAAAATATTCTTCCTAAATAATCCGTTACACCCCCCTCAAGTTGGAGCATGAAGATCCCGAATGCCCAACTTGCGGAGAAAAGTCGTGAATTCTTGACCACCCAAGGCCTTAGTAAAAATATCCGCCAACTGGGTCGTGGTAGGAACATAAGTAGGAGCAATTAAACCCTTTAACAACGCGGCACGAACGAAATGACAATCAATCTCAATGTGCTTAGTACGCTCATGAAAGACTGGATTAGAGGCAATGTGCAAGGCTGCCTTGCTGTCACAAAAGAGAGAAACAGGAGATAAATGGTCAACACCAAGACATCCCAACAGGGACTTCAACCATAACAGCTCACAAGTGGTAGAGGCCATGGAGCGATATTCTGCTTCTGCGGAAGAGCGAGAAACGGTAGGCTGTTTCTTCGTCTTCCAGGAGATAGGCGATGAACCGAGTTGAATGATCCAACCAGTGAGAGAACGACGCGTAAGAGGACAACCTGCCCAATCAGAGTCGCACCAAGCAGTAAGACGTAAATCAAAATCAGCGCGAAAGAAAATGCCTTGACCAGGACTTCTTTTCAAATATCGCACAACGCGAAGAGCAGCATCCCAATGAGGTTGGAGAGGATTGTGCATAAACTGAGACAGAACATGGACAGAATAAGACAAGTCGGGTCGGGTGACAGCAAGATAAATAAGTCATCCAACCAAACGTCTGTATTTTTGTGGATCGGAGAATGGAGGTCCAGCGACAAGCGAGAGCTGATGATTCTGCTCAAGAGGAAAGGAGGTCGGCTTAGCCCCGAGAAAACCAACTTCTGATAATATGTCAAGAGCATACTTCCGTTGGCATAAAAAATGCCAGAGGAATTGCGAGCAACTTCCAGACCCAGAAAATATTTCAAAATTCCAAGATCCTTCATATGAAAGCAACGACTTAAATAAGCCTTGAAGGAAG